ACCTTCTGATTAGTGTGGCATCAGTGTATGAATGAATGTGCAAGATGAATGATATGCAGCATAAAAACTCTTCAATACAACATTTTTAAAGGGCTACAATCTCTGAAATGTTAAAGATCAATAGTACTGAAAAGTAACAAAGTTTGAAAAATTACATTTGCACTGTTTAGGTATCAGTTATTTGTACAATTGAGTCAGTGTACAGGAGTTTAACAATTAAAAGCAAAAGACATTAGGCAATGATGTGCATACAAAATGATGAGAATGGAGGGAAAGCTCCTGTTATTTCCATTTCCATCTCTATAAAAAGGAAATAATCAGAAAACGTAAAGGGGTAGTAATGGTTTTAAAGCGTCTAAAAATGTAAATTCTGGTTGGTGTTTTTTGATTTGGATTTTGAAAATTTCAGAAAAATCAGAGAATCAAAAAACACAAAGTACTTTCTGTTGTATCTTTCATCACTAGAAGTAAACTGATTTACACATTTTATGGGCTAAAAATGTTCTGGGGGAGACCTCCCAGAACAAATTGTAAATTGTTATCACTTCCTGATAAAATTGTGATTGTGATATTTTTCCTCATCACCCACCACTATATCAAAGATTGAATTTCTGGTATCATGACAGAGAGTAAAGTATTTCCACTTGTCAGAGGACTGAGAGGCAGCTGGCTGTGGGCTTTTCTTCTACTATTGACTGGTGGATAGAAATATAAAACAAAACAACAGGAGCATGAGGGCATGTGAAGGATGAATGCATCTTAATAAATGTTGAAAGGAGACCTCGGGCTGTGAGAGTGGATAAACTCTGCATGATGTCAGATTTTAAAATCAGTAAGGTTAATGTTATTGAGTAAAATAAAGGACATAACGTTATTTGAATGGTAACAGATCAGTCAGTGACACAACTAAGAGACTGTTCTTTTATCAGTTCACAGTGACAACCTTTCAAAAGTGTATTTACATTTCTTTTAAAGCAGAAAGTGTTGAAAGCTAAGACTGTCAAAGACGAGAACTGGAGAAATGACAGCCAAAGCTCAGCTCAGCTCCCATATTTCACTATACTTTAATTATTAACGCATACACTAACAACTATATTCAGGTGTTTGGATGTCCAGGTAACATATTTAGAAGAATTCATTAACACACATTTGAGCTACAACTCGCTAAAGCCCTTGCTAGCAGTGACTAGCTAGCCGAGCCTGTTAGCAAGGTCACTGGAGCAAAGTGTGCGGTCTAACTTTGCGCCTGCGCATAAATTACACGCATGTTAAGATTAATAACATATAAACAGTTTGCACTAAGACGTTTTTGTTATTATGAAATGTCCGCTGTGTTGACGGTACTCACTTGAAATCCTTGGAAGGGCACTCACAGGACGGCTAACCAGCGCCAGGGCCGCCATCTTTCCAACTACGGCATTACGTGATGGCCAAAATACTTGTCTGTCAAATCACCGCGCTTTGCTTGTGGCGCACACATCAAAGCGAAAAAAATAAGAAAAAAGGTCAAATTAATACAATTAGCCGATACAACACCTAACTTACGTGAAAGACTTTCGAATTAAATAAAATGTATTTTATTTTCCTATCTCTTTTATTAGGCAATTTATTGAACATGTTAAGATAATACAAACACAAAATAAAAAGTATAAGCAATAAAAAAGGAAAAAAAAACCTTAGCAACAAATAAATAACTAAAATAACACGTTCATGTTCAAAAGGGATAGGAAGAAGTTAAACACGTTTCTGGTCCTACCCCCTCTTATTTTATGCATTATTCACAGAAAAATAAAAATTGATTTTTTCATCCATCAGTGTATGTTGCTGACAAAATAATAAGAAAATAATGGGAATAAATGAGCCAAAACCGCCAGACAAGATATAACAAAACAGAAAAACAGAGAATCACTGCTCCAGTTCATATTCAATATCTTATTCCTGAAGAGTTTTTTTTTGTTCGAATATAGTGTTGCATTTTTTCAGCTAATCATCACAGTTGTTCCACAGACTAACACCCGATGTTGTTATACAGTGAAGTTTTGCATTGGTTCTTATTGGTTATTTATGGAATATACAGGTTCCTCTCAACTTATGTTTGCTTTCTCTCGGTTGGAACAACTCCTGGATACCACGAGGCAATTGGTGATAATTTGCTTTGTACATAATTTGAATAGCTTTATAGTCAATCAAATCTGGAAATTTAAGTGTTCTTAGTTTAATAAATAATGGCTTTGTTGGTTCTCTGTAAGTGGTTTTATGTATAATTCGTATCGCTCTTTTTTGCAGGATAAAGATTAGATGCGTATTTGTTTTGTATGTGTTCCTCCATACCTCAGTAGGTCATGTAAGGAAGTATGAAGCAGCAGTACAACGTATACAGGGAGATTTGATTCAGGTCTTTGGCTTTATTCAGTATTGCTATTGATTTGGTATCAGGCAGCAACATAAGGGTAACATTCATGTTTTAGTACACGTGTGTATAAGAATAGAGATTATTTCATATTTCATTTCATATTTCATTTATTTGCTCATTTCAGTATATGGTTCCGACACAATAACACACAACATGAAATATTTTCTCATAATACTAATACACTGTCCATGAGGTCCGTGTAAGAAGACCCCATAAACTTGAAATTTTAATTATACAACATGAACGACTGCAAATGAATTTTCACACTGACTCCATGAGCAAACAGGAGCATGAAGAAGACAACTTACCTGTCCCTTTCTTAATAACACAAAATAGGCTACTGTTGAAACAGAATAACCTGCTAACCTGTTGTTGTTGTTTTTTTTTGTTTTTTTTCCTTCACAAATCAAAAATAAATCAACAATACCAAAGAAAACAGTCAAATACAATCATCACAGTGTTAGAGTAACTCAATAAATTAATAATTTCCCATAACTTTTTCTTTATACATCCTTTTAAATTTAATAACAGTTGAGCAGCATTTTAAGTGAATATCTAGAGAATTAAATAACTCCATTTACTGAAAAACCCATTTGTTTTAATGAAGTGCGTGCAAATGGACTATCAATTATTATGAGGCTATATCCAGTGGCGATTCTAGAGTCTGTTGGGGCCCTATAGGAAAAATAATATTGGGGCCCCCTCAAACCATTATTATGTCTGCCAATGTCCCGACACTCTTCCTCTTTCTTTTTTCACTCCCAGACAGATCATTCCTTTTATTTCCCTAACTTTCGTTGGGAAACTTTGGTTTGAACTTATGCATGAGATGCTAAGCAAGGCAAGACAGTCAGTGCTGTCAGATGGGGCCCCTTAGGGAGGTTTCCTACTGTCATTCCAAACTTGCACATTTTGAACCACTGCTGTGGTTTAAAGTTTGTCAGCCCTTGGGGGCCACCTACTGGCCTGGTGTCCCAAGCAGTTACCCATCCTGTTTGTTGACAAGCAGCCCCTCTTCACATATTTGTGCTCACAGTTAAGGTATTTTATTCATGGCGGTAGCACATCTTGGGTAATTGTGTTTGTATTTTATTATTTATTTATTGAGTAATACAGGAAATAACAAAAGACAGTAACGACATTATCATGCTATTAGAAAAAAAGACATCAAAAAGAAAAACAACAACAACAAATGCTGTAAGTACCTTGAAAAAAATCATTAGACAAAAAAAATACATAGAGTCTACTCAATAAACCCATAATTTAAACAAAATTACCAGAAAACAAAATACTTTTAAGGGTTATTTAATCACACTTTAAAAAAAAAAAAATCCATTCTGTATCATCTCGTGCTACTTTATTTGAGCTTGTGGCGATATTTTTTCCCAAAGGTAATGACTTAGCACTTTATTTTTCAACAAAGACTGGATATCTATTTATTCTTGATTGTGCTTTAAGTATAACCATTTTAAGATGCAGAATGATGGTATTTGGCTTCATTTGTCACCCAATTTCTGGATGAATAAGAACATCAATAGATTTTTTGGTGATGTGGAAAGGGTTACAATTCGCGTATAGGGCCTACTTTGTTCCTTTTGAATTTATTTAAACTAATCATATTTTATTTGTAATACAACTCACTAGCCTATTTGTTGTTTTGTTTGGGCTGTTTCACTGCACCTTTAACGAGACAAACGTCTCATTCCTTGATTACTTGGACAAGTGGCTTTATGCCAGCGATCATAATAGGGATGAGCCCAACTATTGAGCTATACATATCTGGCTCACAGTTTTTCAGCTGACTTTGAATGATAAGTCTGTGGTTCTCAACTGGTGTAGCCTATAGGACCCAACTTCTTCATGTTAAACGCCCCACAAAGTTCTGACATTTTTTAACCAATTACATTTATTTAATGTGTGAGTGCAATGTGTACGTCAGATGGTACACAGCAATGTGACAAAAAAAAAACTAACTTGTTTAAAAGCTCATCCAAAAGTGAAAGCCCTGTCTGTCAGTAGTATTTCATGGTGCAGGTGATGGCTGAAAACATAATCTTGACAGCAAATGAGAAAATTCATAATGTGATGATATTTAGAATAAAAAACATAATATAGTGTGAAATGTAATGTTTGATGATTTCTAGTTGTATACAAGATGTTACGACTTCGCACAAAAGTAAGGACCCAAAAGCAAGACTCTGAACACAGAAGCACAATTTAAACAGTTATTTAATTGTGCAACAAAACTAATAGTGCAAAAAAGGAGCAAGGGGAAGGAGTGTCCAAATCCTCTAGGAGAGACGGTGAGTGAGCAGGCAGGCAGGCTAGCGATCAGGCAGACAGACACGAGCATGTAACAGAATCACTCAGGAAGAGAACACAGAGGTTAGTGTTTGGGCAAACAAGCACCACACAAGCATGAGTTCACACAAAACTATAAGTTATACGGAGAGATGTACTCAGGAGACGAGTGGTGAAAGACCAGAGTAGATAAAGCTTGATGATGAGGAGTAGATTGTCTGCACCTGGGCTGCCTGTAGAGATAACCACGCCCACCTGCACTCACTCACACACAGCCCTCCAGACACACAGGGCAGGAGAACACAAGAACTTCTGGCATTGAGGCATGATGAAGCAATGTGGGAAAAACACGTTCTTTGTTTGAGTATGTAATTTAATAAAAAGGTAATCAGCACTCTTGTGTGCGGTAAATCTTCTCATTTGCTGTCAATATGTTTAAAAGGTATTCACTGACTCTTTGACAGTTTTTTTTCCAGCACAAATTCGCGACCCAATGAAAACAGCTCCGTGACAAACTTTTGGGTCCCCACCCATATGTTCAGAACCACTGGTCAAGAGATGTCTCAACAGGTGCTTTATGGTCTGTCACTCTTTTATCAGGATTCTTTATTATTTATTTTACTTTATTATTATTATTATTTATTTTTTAAATAATTTGTATTTGGAAATATTAATGTACAATAACAATGATTGATATACATATGTGTATTTTACATTTCGATTTTTTTTAGTGCAACAAACTCACACCTCCTTCTCTCCCACTTCACCTACCAGGAACAAAGGACCCATCTATTGAGGAAGTACGAGGATAAAACAGAAGACAAACACGAATGAGGTTCTACTGAGGCTAGAGCCTCCACCACCAGTCTCTGCTACACAATCACAGGGTGCAGGCAGTAGCAGTAAACACCACAAGCAATCACTTGCGGCCCTAGCCAAGGAAGTACTGCTCCTGCTTCAACTTGGACTTTCTGGCAGCATGGTGTAGTACCAGCCTATACATCCAGCCACTCACAGTCACTCCAAGCATCAGCTCTCCCGCAGACGATTTGTGGATGTAGCAGTGTGTCCATTTACAGCCTCTGTAAACAACTTTCTGCTACCACCTTTACAGACGGCTATAGACTTTGGAAAAAAAGCTGCTGTCAAATCCCCCTTTTGAAGCCTCAGTGACGCATGTGCAGTCTGCACACTTCCTCTTCTAACCTGCACACTTACCTTCAATTTGTGCCAGAGACACCATCTGTTTGTTTGTGTCAAGCTGGACATGAGCAGCAGCTGTCGTTGCGATTCTGCAGTTTAAAGCAGAAGCTGTAGGTGTCTTGCGGAGGCTAAAGTTGAACGTTTTGGCCACAATTCCCAGGAGAATCCAGGTTTGTTGCAAGCACAGCCTGAACCTCCATCTTTAAATGGCCAAAATCTCTGGTTGCAGGCAGTAGCAGTCTATTGCTGGCAGGGGCTGGAGGTGGATTTCTTGACACTGTTATCCACAATCTATGAGTGGCGGTGGTTTGCTGTACTTTGGAGGCAGGGAATGGAGGTGTGGATTCTGGCTAGAGCTGTCAGGCAACAACTTGTAGCCCCTTTCATTCAAAGGTTGTGGCCCACAGCTTTAGCTAGAGCCTCCACCACCAGTCTCTGCTAAACACCACAAGCAATCACTTGCTGCCCTAGCCAAGGAAGTACTGCTCCTGCTTCAACTTGGACTTTCTTGGAAAAATCTGCTATATCCCGCATTTCAAGCTTCACACTTGCCTGTCATATTTTCCCCAGTGGAATCTCCACTTAAAACCTTGCCAGAAAACTGTAGCAACCATTTTAGTCCACAGATTGTAGACAACAGCTGCTGCCCTATCATCTGTTCAGAGTCCATCTTAACAACCAGAAGCTTCCAACTCCACCTGTAACTGGCAGGTGCAATTGCTTTCACCAAACAACGGATGTTGATGACAGCTACAACCAAAAACTACACCAATATCCTCTTCCAATTTTCAATGCAGACTTCTACGATAAGTTTGGATTAAAGTTTAATCCACGCCAGACAACAAGCAATCTACACACGTCATTTTCCAACATGCACACTTACCTGAAATTATTTCCTGAGGTATGTCTAACATCATTTCAAAATATCATTTAGTTCATTTTTTCTTCTGGGTCCTGGCTCATTCACAGTTATTAATAACAACCAGCTCACAAATATAATATCGACTGTCGTTCCATGAAGTGGAACACAAATATGCAACTGAGGCAGATTCTGCATTGACTAAGATTGGTTAGTCTAAACAATCAGAGATCAGACCCTTGTGCTTTAAACATCCTTCCTGGAATGTGTTTTCCTCCACACTTTGCACATTACTTTTTCAAATTAGTAATACAAATCAACTTGTTCTTTGCGGTTTACTTTATCTATCTATCTGTCTATCTATCTAACTATCTATCTATCTACCAACAGGAAGAGTCAAGATCAAACGGTACCTACCTTCAGTGGATTCAAAATATCTGCAAGGTGGGCTGTTACATTTTCCAGGTAAAAATATCCGGAATATAGTGTCCGTTCTCACGGGTAGCTCTCTATCAGAGCTCAAGTGAAACTTTTACTTAAACAGGATCTCAACATATTTGTATTATATGTTAAATGTGGAATGTGTTTTTAAGAAATATAAAGCCAACCAGCAAAACAATGTAAACAAGGTCCAATGGGTTGTTGACATGACATGGCCTTTTCATTATCACGAGATAACAATTCATATAAATAGAGCTTTTATTTTTTAAAATGCAATAAATGGTTGAACATTACCTTGTTACGTGAAGATGCTGTTATTAAAGCTGCTGTGTTTTTAGATTTTTTTATGCTTTTGAGCCAAACTTCAAAATTGTCCTCTGGTGTGACTGTCACCATCATGCTTCCATATTTACAACTTATATAATTTAAATAAAAAGGATACATCTTTAGATAAATACCCTTGGCATGATTCTACAATTGTCTAGTAGTTGGTAATTATGTTTTTTTCCATTTATTTTTGTAACTGTAAGACATCAAAATCCATGTCCACTAGTGTTACAGCACATCCTGATTTTAAATCAGGAAATTCTACTCTTAATTTATTGAAAGGACCCAATTTAAAGGCATGTTTCTGAAGTTCTCTGTGGAGCTCATGATGTGCTCATTGTTTGGATCAATCTAAAAATCATTGAAATATTGAACTCCATTCCTTATCACTATAAAGTGTCCAGTGTTTTTGTCCTTTGGTGTGACAGCCCTAAATTAACATTTTAAGTTAAAAAAAAAGTTTATGAACTACAAAATCATGGGAAGTTATATAAATGTGTCTTGCTTTCTGGGCTTGACTTATCGAAGAATAACACACTCAAAACTGACACTCAAGGCCAGAACATCCTTTAGGGTGAAGTTAAATGTCTTCTGGTGTGACACCTTTTTTTTCCAGGGGACAAAAATGCCACACAAGAGGACAAAGCTTCTATAAAAAATATTTTAAATAATAAATTAAGATTTCTTTAAAACGGTTTTAATCTCTTTTGAGTCTTGTAGTGAGTTTGGAACAACATGGTAATATTTGTTCAAGTATCTCCTGCGTTTTTTTCAAAATAACTGCGGCATCAAGCTTCAACTCAGTTGTTTATTTTTTACACAATACATTTAAAAAAAGAAGGCTAAAGACAACCACCAATCGAGGAAAACAGCATTAAAGCTGTACAACATATAAACGAAATGTATTTAAAATGAGGAAAATTAGTGCTTGAATCTGATTATTGCCAAAAGCGATTATTGATACAGTAGCCTAATATGTAGAATTGAACATTATCCAAATATAGAATATTTTCAAGGAATTAAAGATCCAAATGGTAGATTTCGACTGTTATTTAACTTTTGTCTTTTAAGTTATGATTTGAATAAAAAAAGGTCTCCTATTATTTCAAACAGATGTCATTTGATTCACTTAAAAAAACAGAGTTCTGATGGTTAGCTCTCAGATATGAGATGCAGATGAATGAGTTTTAATGCACTGACTTGATGATTGAAGCACTTCATTCAGGCATTGAAGCCCTCCAATCAAAGTAAAGAATAAAAGGTAAAACATCAAACTTCTGTACAAAAGTATAAAAAAAAGGGCCATTGATGCTGTAACTTGAGTAATTGTTCTTACATTGTCACATTTTATTATAGACAATATTCCAGAAGTGAAAAAAATCAGCTTTGTTTTTCATGTTTTAACACGATAACACTTGTTTCTACTTTTTCAAGTTAATAATTGACCCAACACTGTTTGAAATATTGGCTTTAAGAAGTATTTAGTTTATTACTCCAAAGGTGGTGCTATAACTTTAAAAACGATGAGTGAACAATTTAGAAGACAGAAAAAGTAGTCCGCACATCAGAAGACGCTCCAATTAAATTCAATCTAATGGGAACATTATCACCTTTAACGAGGGCCCGAAACGTTACAGTTGGTGTTTTTCCCATTTAATTAAATTAAAAAAAAGTTTCTTTTAAAGTGGTCTTAACACTCTGTCATATATAGATGCAAAGTGAAGACTGCAGATGTTCATGAGGGGGATGAATTTAATCTGAGATGTCATGATTAATTTGTAAATGTAATAAAACACTTTAGATTTAATTGTCTTTTTAATGATTACAGATTCCAGTTTACATAGTTATACCTGTTTTAAAAAAAATTACAGGATATCATTATCACACTTTATTTCAACTTAGATACCTTCAATTTAGATACCTCCATGATCCTTTACATCAGATGACAACATTACATGATGAATAATATACCACACCATTGAAGATAAAATGATGGAATATGAAAACGTTTGATTTCTTTGAAACAACTTTTTATTTAATTAAAAGAAACATAAAAATACATTTGTACTTTTCTCATGACAGCTACAATCCGCCCTCTCTGCGTCTCTGGAAGCTACGCTAACAGATAGCGAGGGGCCGCGGTCTATCTTCTGTTGGCGACTATACAGACATTAATCAACAGTAAAAAGAGGATCGATAATAAAACATTTGATTTTGTTTCATAACATCAGAGGATTCTGTACAATAAATGGATTCTGTGGTAGGAAAGTCTGAACCATGGGAATCCAACAGTTTCTAATCCGAGTGTATGCACGTGATAGTAAAGTGCAACTTTTCTAATACTGCAAGGCACAAACTATCAATATCAGGATTTTCTTGTTGTTTCTAATACAAAAATAATATGAATAACACAGACATACAAAATGTTGTCATAGAGAAACATCACAACAAGTAAAACCTTGTCTAACCTCTCCACAAAGATCTGAAATGTTTTCTTAAAGTATGTTTTGAATTACACAAACATTGGAAAACAGAGCAGGAATATGTACAACCGAAGGTATTACAAACTCACATGTGACGTGTGGTGAATTAAATTAATCAACGGATATGAAACACATTTCATAATAAACAAGTGAAATCACTTATAATCAACATCTCACCAACTACGCTCTACGCTTAAAAACAACGACAATCAATTTGTTAACTTAAAAAAAATATTTTTTGGCTCAGCCTTTATTGCACACGATTGTTCTTATCATCATCACCATGATTTAAATAACGCTAAAATGTCTAAAAGAAAAAAAGGTGTTAAAGCAAAAACTACGAGTTTATCAGCACATGCACTTTTTTAAATATGGAGACTGAAAAAAAGGTTAAAGTGTTCAAACTCAAACCTGTTTTAAAGATGTCAATGCACAGCAAAGATTGGGTTCCATACATAACACAGGAGACACTGAAAGCTAAAAGCCTGAGTTTTTTTTTTAAGCTGTTTGATCTCCACTCAAAATGTGCATTCTCCTGATGAAGATGGTGTGATGTCTCCAAGTCTGACACGTTTAATCAAATACCTGCCTGCAAATGAGTCTTCACATTTCTACTAAACATGTAATAACTGCTTGATTTACTTCTCTGTCATATACAAATCACTTAAAACAATAAACAGGAGATTTCCTCCTCAGCGTGGAGAAAACATTCACTGGAGCCGATTTATAACATGAAAGCTCAAGACTCAGGCCTGACATCTCTAACATGTTTTTCTGTGATTTTGTGACGCCACAGAGCCGCCATGTTTGTGGCAAAGAAATTAGAGTGTGAGCAGGCCCAAACTAAATGTTCTCAACTCAGTTGCTCACAGGTGAGAAGAGGATAACTGAGTCTGAGTAACTCCATTTCCCATTTGTCATGAATGCAGCATGGTCTCTGTCCCTGTTAGATGATAGTTGGTAAACACTGAGACGGTTCCTGACTCTCTTTTCCCTCCGGGCCTGATTCCTCCTGAGGTTTGATGATGATGTGAACCGGCCTCTCTCCTCCTCCCTCTTGTGGCTCGCTTCCTGTGGAGAGTTTACCCTCACTCTCACAAACTTCCTCTTCCGCCGAGGCCCCGATGGGCCGAAGACGCTCGGCGGGGGCCATCTTTGTTCCACTCGATGAACTGTCTCTCTTGATGAGCTTTTCATTAGTGCTGCTGTCGGAGCTGATCTTCTCTCCTGTACCACGGAAACAAAGACATGAAACATCAACTCAAGGTGAGCACAAAGGTAATCTAAAGGTTTGTCTGCAGCTTCCTTCTTTCCTATTTTCATTCTGTTTTTTTACTTTAATTGTTATTCCCTGCATCCCAAAGTAATTTGGGGAATGCAAGGCAGAGAGAAAATAACTATTTACTTGATGTACGACTTCATTAGCCTGTGTGGAGGTGAGTCATTTGTTTTAGTTGTGGTTTCAGGGAAGAATGTACGCATGCCCGTCATTTTGTAAGTCATATAGCTGTATGGAGAGTCTTCTGTTTGCTCTATTTCAGCTGCTGTATGTACAACTTTTGCTTGTGTGATTATTATCAGTATGTCGTGGGTATGAGAAGTGATGAGTCCTCTTACCGGGCTTGCTATTAGACTGTCTGCGTAAACTGTGCTCGCTGCTGTTTTCTGTGTTGGTCGAACTGTCTGAAGACTTCTTCACCAACGGCCTCGTTCTCGGCCGGACTTTGTTGAAATTTCCCTCCAGGATCCACTCGTGCTGCAGCCCCTCGTCAGGAGTCATGCGCTTGGTTGGATCCCAGCTGAAAGGAACAGACGACTTTGGGTTGCATTTGATGATCGATCTTTAATAAATCCCCAATAAAGCCACATTCAACTGAAAGGTCAGATCTTGTTTTTATGCAGTTCATTGTAAAAGTAAGACAGTTGAAAGCGAAGCCTGTTCTTGATGTTTAGTTTATAGTAAACATACCTGAGGCAGCGTTCGATGAAGTCTAAGAACAGAGCATCATTGGTTTTTAACACAGCTGACAGCTCCTTCGAGTTGGGTCTCCTCTTCTTCCCTTTGCTGTTTGTGATGTTCCGGGGGTTTCCTTTAGAGTCTGCAGATCATCAAACAATACTGATTTATCATTACAGCAGATTATCTCTGTAGCACAGTAATAGTCCAGTTATTTATTTAACTATAGATGACTTTAATAACTGTATATATTGGTAACACTAAACAATAGTAATTCATAATCTCTAAAACACATCTAAATACATTATGTCTCACCAAAGAACAGCCTCCTCCTCGATGCAGACTGGACAAAATCATTTGGAGGCATCCCAAGAACCTGAAAGTTAAAACATCAGGGCATGTTAACACATGTAAAAAAAAAATAACAACAAGAAGTACGTTCAAATAGGAAGCCTGAAAAAGAGGTGAAAATTATGCCTTATTTTGAAATTCCACAATGAGCGGTGGACTTCCTGTTTGGATTTCAACTTGACAGTAAGAGGCTTTTTGGTAGGTCTTGGCTTGGTTAATATGCAAAAAAAGATTCATGCAACGAAAATAACCTCAATGGGGAGGCCTTTTTGAAAATTTCAAGGGGGCGCTGTTGAGCCATTTGGCGCAATTCGTTTACAAAAACGCCAAAATATATTTTTTTCCACCAGACCTGATGACCACCCTAATTTTGCTGAGTTTTCGGGTACGTTCAGGCCTTAAAAAATGTGATTCATTGGGGAGAAAGAATAATAATAGTAATTCCTTGCATTTCAAGAGGGTCCTCACACCCGTTTGGTGATTGGGCCCTTACTAATGTGAACACATAATCTCTTCCACGCATTACCTCCATTATGCAAGCTATCTGCTCCACTTCGCTCTCTCCGGGGAAGAGAGGATAGCCCGTATAGAGCTCAGCAAGGATGCACCCCAGACTCCACATGTCAATGGCCATGCTGTAGTTGTGACCCAGGATGACCTCTGGAGAGCGGTAGAAGCGACTCTGGATGTAGGTGTACACTGAAGAAAAACAACAGAGCCCCATTGTGTTATTAGTGGACAAATGCGCAACAGAAGATCATCTTGATCCTTCTCTTGAAAGGAGGATGGTTGGAAGAATTCACACGCCACTGAAAAAGCAGCAACTTGGGGTTAAGTGTCATGCCCAAGAACACATCGTACATGTGGCTGTAGGAGCTGGGGATCAAACCCCCAACCTTCCATTGAGAGACACTCTATCGACTTTAAAAAATATATATTGGGAAAAATCTAATTGATTCAATATATTTCACAGTTGAGATCTGTTTTCTCTATTTAAAAACGTTTTCTCTATTTAAAAACATTGCTACAAATTAAAGGTTGTTATTTACCTTTTAATAGTCATTTCTCTTTGCTTTCATTTAACTTTTACTTTGTTTAAAAAAAGAGAAACCGTTGAAAATATGGGCAGCAAGGGATGTTAAGGTGAATTTATTACCTTGGAGACATAATAAAAATGATATGTACATGTTTTATTCAATATATCACCAGGGCAGGATGTATGATCTCTATTCATGTATTTTTATTTAATTCTCTTGTAACTGCAGGAACCCGGGCTGCCTGCTTGAGACGACAGCCTCCATACATGGGGGGCGTGCACTAACCACTGCACCACCAGCGCCCCAATCTTATCATATCTTATCTTATTCTCTGACCTCTTTGTTGTTCATAGCAGCTGGATCCAAAGTCGACCACCTTGATGTTCCCCGGGCCTCTCTGAGACAGAAGGATGTTCTCCTGTTTGAAAAAGCAAAAAACATTCAAACACTCTAAATGTAAAGCTGCTGCAGTTTTTTACTGCTCCACAAGATGGAGCTAAGTTCACAGTGTACTTCTTAGTAGTGAGTCTAATGTGTAAAATGTGTATTGCAGAAAAGCCGTTTTCCGTACCGGTTTGAGGTCACAGTGGATGATCTTCTCCCTGTGCAGCATCTGCAGGCACCTCAGGAGGGCATGAGTGAACCGACGGATGAGAGCCAGACTGAAGCCCTGGAAGTTGTTTTTTTTAATGAGCTCGTACAGGTTCACCCTGCAGAAAGAGGAAATGATGTTTGTTATTTTTCCTTTTCTTAAAGATTCTGTGAGGTACCAAGCTAACGACCCCTGTAGACAAAGTGCAACAACCCTAGACAGTCTAAAACACGGACAGAGTCTCAGTGAAGTCATCCCTTGGGTTCTTAAGTGGTGTTCAGAAGCGCAATGATGGCAGTCACCATGTTATGTTATCTCCACCTAACTTGCCTTTCAATTAGCCCAGAAACTGGAGAGAGGTGGAGCTGAGGCGGGGGAGCCTTTAGCCTCCTTGCACACAGCTCTCTCTCAGTTAGCTCAGCCATGCACTTAGTTATGCAAATGTAAACATACATTGTAGCCTTAATATGACATATTCAACCCTGGTACAGTTTTTACATTTGAAAAATTTGTTTGATGTAAACATGTTTGTTTCTGCTGTAAAAATGGGCATTACAGGAGATCTAATGGGGATTCCTTGGCTTTTGCAGTGGTCACTCAAGGAACTGCAATTTTTTTTTTGCACTTTTGCATGGTTGCCGCTCTGATACATCTTAACTTTGATGATTTTGTCCTGTACATATGTAAGGAGTAAAATCCTCCTGCTGTCGTTTAACTGTCTAATGTTCCACTCAATCTGAATCTCTCCGTAGATGTGTTAACTTCCGTCTACTCACTCCGTCTAACCCCTGACCTGGTGGCAGTAGTAACAGACATTAAAAAGAAAACACTGAATCTTGTCGCTGATGGTCATGTTTGGTTTTGCAGGTCATACTGAGGCATGGTTATTATAGACAAATTGGATTCACCTCGTCTTTTCCTCTATATATACTTGTTATGCTCAGGCTCTTCTAGGAAGCCGGAGAGCGCTCAGTACAGATTGACTTATATAAAGACAGCACCACATTAAGAGCGTCTCCATATCCCTCAAATAAACGTTCTGAAAAAAGAAGGCTGCTCAGTTTGACACCTCACACTACCCCTAATACAACACCTGCTGAGTGCCAGGGTTCACACTTATAATCTATATGATGCTCACAGTCAGAGGGAGAGACTCAGGGTGTGTCCTCCTGCTTCTTGCTACATGTGATGAGCATTAACTTCTTTAAATTGTGTAACCAGAGCCTTCACACCATGAAGCAAGAAAGGGTAAGAGATAGGGCCCCAATCAAGGCCTTAACTAAAGGATTCGGTGACAGTAATGTTAGACAAGATGGCAGAGCAAGACGTCCTCTAAAGGTCATTCAGCCAGGGTGACACACAAACCTATCCCCACTTAAATAGATATCAGTTGCAATACATGTTAAAACACAGACGCCTTAAGGTACACAGGGATCATTTAACTCCTGATTGACCAAAGCATAGAGATGAGTAAGAAGCTCCTTAACCATGCAGCATGTGAGCGAGCGCACTGACCCGAGGAGCTCGAAGGAGATGCAAAGATGATTCCTGAAGTAGAAGTACTCCTTCATGTGGATGACGTTGTGGAGGTTGTCTTTGTCTTTCCTCTTTATCACGTCCAGGATCTTCAGCTCGACCAGAGCCTGGTGATGAAACCTGAAACAGATTCACAGGAAGTGTTAACACACACTGAAATACAACATTATACCCATAGTTTAAACATCATGAACAGCATTTATACATTTTAAGATAAAAGGGGGGCCAGAGTAAATTAATATGTTCCTGACAAATCAGCCTGAAGCGGACATACATCCATACATTTATTTCACTCTGTTTTCCTGTGATGAAGGGTCATTTCCATTGGTTTTCTCGAGGTCCAGACTTATTTATGTTGTTATCTTGAAATAACGATGCTTGTTTTAAACAAGTTGATTTGTGGAGAGATCAAGCAAATGACAGAAAAGTGTTCGTTTTCACAGGACAACCTGCCAGTTACTGAGAAATAAGAAGAGTTCTTGAAAAAACAACCCTAATTTACTCGTTATCAGAGGGAAACGTAGTCACATAAAATGTATGGATTGCATGTCTGCTAAGGGGTTCGGGGACTAAATAAAAAGATGATGAGGAATTTTTTTAAATATATAAATATCACTGCAGTTTGTTTTCTCTGACATAGCTTTTTGCACCACTTAAATCCCCGGACATTGGTGAAATGTGACCATTTACAATCCTCCTTAAGGTAAGATAAAATCGCCCTGCACAGTTCTATCAAGGTGCTGCTTTGGCAGTTTGTTCCCTTTTTGTTTCCTGCATTATTGAAGAAGGCAGAGGTGACTCCTGCTTTAAACCTGCACGACTCAGAGAGTCACTGCCAGCATGATCTGCGGTGTAAAGACAGGTATGAAAACAACATGATGTGCTATCTTCTGCCATGCTGAATCAGGAACTCAATCATTTTAACATGCAAACTGATCCTGTGCTGCAGACATGATGTGGGATAAACTCATGATACAGTATCAGATGTCAATGAATAGAAAAAAATCCTCTTTTATTGTGAAAATATTCTATATTCTTCAAAGCACCTTGTGATGTACAGGGTCATTTTAATCCAGGCATAGTAAAGGATGTATTATTATGTGATGATTTCCACAAATGACACAACTGAAAGTCAAACTGCTCCAAGTAAATGATGAGATTGATCAGTGATTCATTACCTTTTCTTGTTGCGTATCATCTTAATGGCTACAAGTTCATTGGTCTTGTGGTCGAGACATTTCAGGACCTGCCCAAAGGAGCCTTTCCCGATCACTTCCAGCACTTCAAACCTATAGGCAATGTGGTCATGCAGCACCTGGAGAAGCAAGAGGAACTGTTGTTAATAAATGCATCAAGAACATTTTATTGATGTACAACTCTGACCTACAATCTCAACTGGACTAATACTTCACTGTCACTGCAGAACAGAAATATGAGTCTAACCCTTGGTCAGTCACTCCGCCTTTGATGGCTCATTACATATTGTCTATGAAAAAAAACTGCCTGTCAGTCACCTGATTTACACAGGTCAGTTCAGCCAGGTGTCACAGGGTCTGCTGACCTCAGATCAGTTTATTGTTTACAGTGTTTAACAAAGGATGATGGGGAAAATGTCTGCAGCTGATGGATTAAGGTCAGGCAGAGACATGTGGTCACACACAGTTCCGGTTAGACAGATGGAATGCCGGCCTGAGCATGTGTGTGTGTTTTGTTCACGTGTTTGTGTGTGTGTGTTAGTGAGTACAGGAACAGTTATGATCGTGTGTTCCTGTTTTTCTTTCTGCTGTCAAAGGATTTCAGTTGCATGTATCTGCAAAGTTGTTTTCTTTTTGCAGTTTTTGTGCTTTGTGCGTTTTACATGGACAATCATGAGGCCTTTATAGAAACATAATACTGTTCTTAAATACACCAGTATATTGACAAATCTCTGAGTATACTCGTAGTACTTATTTCATATATTTCTATGGAATGTTTTTCATCATTGTACTTTTATTGGATTCATAACTGTGTTATTGTTTTTAATTGAATTCTTCATTTGTTTCATTATTAAATATCATCCTTCTCCTGATGTGATTCAGAAACTGCGTTTAATTCATAATTTTTAACATATACATATACATATATATTTTAAACTGTGCCCTTTAAGAGAGGTATTGGGTTCTTTTGGGACCAATAAATAATTTTCTTGGGATGCAGGATTTTTGATTATATCTATTTCATGACTTTTTGGAAAGTTGTAAGACTTGTTTATACTCAAAAAGCTTGTGAATGTTTTACTTTTTGTCATCATGACAGAGTTTAATAGCGCAATAAACAAACAGTCCCTGCTTGAAACTTTTTAACTACACAACAATTTTTTTATTGTCCCTGCAATGATTTATTACAGTTGAATGGAGTAAATCTCAGGATAAACACAGAAATGGTTTTCTTTAATTCTCCATCTAACACTTTACCCTGATGTAGCTCCCATGCTCGTCATCATATCCTGAGTTCTGCCCTGAACCCTGGGAGCCCTCAATCTTCTGAGAGCCCAGACCCAGGAACCAGATCTCAGAGTAGTCCATGATTTCCTCCTGCTCAAACTCCGTCAGCCGATCTTGGAAGTTCTTCAGTGCCTCTGCAACAGGAAGTAAGAGGAGGAGGACGAGATGAGTCACTTTCATATTGATCGCACCTTTTGCCAAGAGCAGAGGACTGTGAGCAACAGACTTGAATGCCAGCAGGCTATTTTTACTGCATCAGAATAATTAAACTTGTTATTTAGTTACATAAAAGTGTTGGATATCTTTAATAGATTCAACATGTAGAATGATGCCTCTCTTTTTTAATGTGATCGAACTTACCCGTGGGGGACATCGGTAGCCTTTGGCCCTCGTATGACCTCTCCTTCTCCAGCTTGTTGCTGATTATCTTGCTGTTGCGAGGGACTGAAACTTTGTCCATCGTTGAACCAAAGCGCATGCTGAACGGCTGGGTGGGCTTCGGCCTCTCATCCTGTAACAACAAGCACACAGGAAGAGGTGACCCCTACTGTCTGATGAGCAAACTATGGGTGTGGCTTTAATAATGTCTTAACAGTGAACGCTGTGCTTTAATCACTCTGCTAGTTCTCAGTTTTATGTTTTAAAAGCTGCTCTTGAGAAATTCAGATGCTTCAGTCTTTGGCCTTCCATCAGAAGCATAGAAAGAACAAAGCAGGGAAAGTTCCTGCAGTAGGATGATACAGGCTGCTAATGTGTGAGAGTCTCACCGAGTGTGTCTGAAAGTTGTTCTGACCCCCTTTAATGGCAATCTGGGGCAGGATGTTGTCTGACTGCTGGTGTTGGTTTTTAGCATTGCTGACCACCACCTGCACCACCGGTGGTTCTAGCTGAGGTAAGGTCCCGACACCAGGTACAAACTTCTGCAAAGCACAAGGGACTGTTTTAAAGTGATTGCCTTAAGTGAAGAAAAAAAAACTCACACTGGAGACGTCACTTAAAAAAAAGCAGCATAAAAAGATAAAGATGAATAAAAATGGGTCACACAACAGAAGAAACAAGGTCACTCTGTTTTTTTTAACTTTTAAAGACAAACTTTGTTTCTTTAGTAGGGTGACTGAGATGAAGGAAAAGTGGAGTCTCATTTAGAATATTTAGGAAAATAAAGAAAAGTTTGCCAGCTTCCACAGCTTGAAGGCTTTGAAGAAAAGTTTCTGTCGGGAATATCTCGCTCTGCCTTTCAGCACAGAACAACAAACACAGAACAACAAAACCAAAGCAGCTACAGAGAGACTGGGTCAGCAAGTGTCAAGTCTGAATGTATTATTCTTTTTACACTATAGCTACAAGCGTGTTACAGACCTCTTTCTTTTTTTCACCAGTGTGTGTTTGTGTCAGTTTTGGTTTGTATTCTCTACATCCCTTTCACATGCATTCTGTCTGTGCAGGCTCAGGTGACCGGGACCTCCAGCAGCTGGCGGCTGGAATTACTGATCAGGGTTAACGTGAAATGGGGACAAAGCCTGTGAGGCTGGGCCCTGACAGAGTCTGTCTGTGGAGGCTCGGTGGGGGAGGACAAGAGCAGCAACCTGCTTTTCTCCCACTGCCACACTGCTTGCTCTGAGAGCACGATTACATGTGTCACAGGCTTGGCAGACTCATGTTGATGGCGGTGATGGGCAAAATTAGACCTCTGTCCCCGGCCAAACTCTTTAGGGAAATATGAGATATCCTACAGACTCAAATCTCTGTCAAGAGGGGCATCATAGAGATAGGTTGTCAAATTGTTCAATACTCTGATACTTTTCAAGTCTTACTGTTTTTA